GGGGGGGGTCTTTGGCGATACTCAACATGAAGTCGTGTTTGTTCGATTCCGAGTGTACTCGTTCCATGTATGCGAATATTGATGTCTCGCGCAAAGCACATCCGCCGCCTCCGCCGCGAGTACACTTGACGCGCAAACGACAACGGATCGTGTACGGTGAGGTACTCGTTAAAATGGTTCGCCGACCGCCGCGGTTTTGCATCGTGATTAACCTCACCGGAAAAGTTATAATTTATATGATTAGCCACAAATTGGCGGCTCTTGCTTGAGGCGATAATCAGATGACTCGATTTTCGGCACCAGCGCGTCATTTGCAGTAGCGCGCAAAGCTAACGCTCGGAACGAGTCGCAGGTCTGGTCGCGCTGAGGGAGCAACGGCCATGGCTCGTCGCGACAGCCCTATCGTTCCCAGCACTAGATCGACACCTGCTAGCATACGTAAGTACAGTTTTGCAGCTCCTTTGCCAAATGCCAAATGGCATGGTAGGTATCATAGCGGATTTAAGATTGAAAATGTGCAAAACTACGTCCGTCTGAGCCAGTTCATCTCTGTAACGGACAATCGATTCTGTGAAATCAGCGAAAGCATAAACATGGTATGGAGGACTCTTGGGTGACTATAAATGTTCCGATCCGAGACACTGCCTCTGTGCTGAAAATAGAAAGTTTCCGATCAGGATGTGTACCCTGTGCATGCGAAACGTAGACCCTAAACCTGAAAGCTTTCATAAACTACAGATCATACAACGATGAATGTGTAGGAGCAAAAAAGAAAGCCGGCGATGTCACTGCCGAAATGAAGTCAAAACGGCAACGAGCGGGATGTGCTGAAAGAAGAACTGACCACTGCTGTGCCAGAGACATTAGCGGAGTTCCACAATAGTGTAAACGCCACGTGGGAAGACTTCTAGACAGATAACAGAATGAGCTGAACAAGTTCGTTTGGTCAAGATATACAGAAATGACAGGAAACAAGTTTCTTGGCAAAGTCTTGGGAGAAACGTCTTCCCAGCAATGGGTCGAAAAGGCTGATGATGACGATATTGTTGATGGTGGTAAGTGTAGAGGACATCTCTGAACAGGTTCGATACGGATTGTTAGACATTTTGAAATTAGACCATGGCTCATTGTATTTTGCGCTCTTTCGTGAACTGGATCCGGATGTGAGTTGGACAAA